ATTTATTCAATACTCTGTACTGAATATACCAAATGCATTGATTTATAAAGGATGCGGGTGTGTTGGGAAATGAACAGGCAGATAGACTGACTGGCTCTGCACCACTTGCTGGCTCTGCACCACTTGCTGGTGAATTGATGTATGACAAGTTAGATATTGTGAAGGCCCTTTGGCACCGAGAGAGCAGATAGATCATTACGGTCTAAGGAGAATGGCGCTGCAAGGAGTTACCAGAGGATCTGGCCGACGCTCAACACTCAGGGGTAGGATGAGACGGATATACAATCAGACGGTTAATGCTACCATCGGAAATTGGAACTCTTCGCCTGCTGCTGAAGATGGGGACTGAGTACTTATGGAAGAGTCCCACGTGCTGTGATGTCGATTCTTAATTCAACATTCAACATTTTGTAATAAAAAAGGCAGCGACGGAAATCTAAAGAAGTGTTATGTCCCTATAAATATACATCTATTTTCAGCCATTACTGCCAGGTCGCACCTGCAAAACACATCATGTCTGGGTTACACTTCCTCTAAATCCACGGGATCCAATTATTTAACCACTGCGGCGACAGGAAATGCAGACAGGCAACATTTCACATTATGGCTTTCAGGTGTAACAGGTATATCCGGAGGCCGTATCCGACGACTCAGAACTAACTTCTCTCTTGTATGCCTACATCTTAGCTTACAGGTGGTCCCTTCCTAAATGGGTACCAGAAATTGTCCTGGGAAGTAAAAGCGGATAGCCAGATGTTGACCACATCACGAAACAATAAGTGTTGACTGAGCTGTCAAGATAACGGTCCCGCACTCGGCTGCGGTGATGTAGCAGATAGACGGTCACCTGTGGATCGGAAGGTTGAGGGTTTGGGTCCTAATGGAGCCGGGTTTTTTTTTTAAATGACCTTTTTTCCCCCAGGTCGATCCAGACTTGGATGGGTACCATGGAAACTTCTGGGAAATAAAGGCGTGATGTTGACCACATTATCCCACCTAGTGACGATTGGTCAATATAATATATATGTCCTGCCCTATATGCCAACAAGCTCGAAGGTGTGAAAAAGGGATCCTTTACTGACTATAGACTCGAAGCAACACTGGCTTGAAAAGGGTTAATTACTTTCCTGATTTACTGATTTGAGAATCGACATCGTAGCACACCGAGCATACCCATAGATGCTCCGTCTCCCGCAGCAAATGTTTTGAGGCAGTGATTCTCAACCTTCCTACTGTGGAGACCCTGTAATAAGTTCTTTATGTTATTGTGACTTCTAACCATACAATTATTTTAGTTGTTACTTCATAACTTCAGTAAATGTGTGTTTTCCGATGGTCTTATGCGACCTCTGTGAAAGGCTGGTTCAACCTCCGAAATTTCGCGATCCATATGTTAAGAACTGCTGTCTTAAAGGGTAGATGCCAGCTGTGCAAGTGAGACACTGATTATACACACGTCGTACTCTTCCTCTCATACGTCCTCGCTGCCAGATCCACTTCTAATTTACCGACTGAGCCTTCTTAGAAACATATTTTTATCTAGCCTCGTGTCTTTTCTCAGCATTAGTTCATTACTGGTCTTCCCAATGTCATCTATTTTCTTTACTTACAAATACTCCTAAATTAGAGGTTGCGTTGAGGAGCTTGTTAGTATGCCGCGTCGTGATCGCCATATATCAGGACACGCAGGAAAGATGTACCTGTTGCATCAGAATGTAGAGTTTGAAAAAAAAAGTAAAGATCCCTTTTCACGCCTTTAGGCGCATTGGGCATATGGGAAGAGCAATCAAATTTGTACAGACCTTTCGGCACTAAGTGGGTAATATGGTCAGCATTTCACCGGCCGACTTTACTTCCCCAGGAAATATATTCTGGTACCCATTTTAGGCTGGGCCGATCTACGACGCCCATACCATGGTAAAAATCCACGTAGCCAGCAGTGGTTTCGATCGTGGTACTTTGGAATTACGAGTCGGACTCGCAACGCCTAAGCCACGGACACCGCTGCTGCATCAGAACATCGGATGTTTTTGATGTTGCAGAAATAAATCTCTTGAGGCTTGTCCAGAAAACTCATAAAGATGCCACCTGCTGTTAAAACCCAAAATTGTGATGCAGAGAATGAGACGGAAAATCAAAATGGTAATTAGCAATAGCCAGAAATACCGTTAATTAGTAAAAGCCATCTTTGGGGGCGGGGGAGGGGCAGGGGTGGAGTGGATTAATGTCTCAATGTTGGCGCTGGGGTCAAACGAGGTGGTGGGAATAAAACAACTGCCGCATAATAACCATGTCGTAACAGACGACTAATTAGATGTGTTCTTCTTTGAAGTCGGAGTGCATCCGCCTTCAGACAGGAAGCTAACAGACTGCACGCAAAAAAGACAGATCTGTCAAACAGATGTGGTCGCAATACTCAAGTTCTGGAAACAGAACCAATTCTAAAAGTGGACGAACGCCCATAATTTTTAACGGAGCTTAGAAACGATGAAAGCTGAAAAGAAGAAGCAGAAGAAGAAGAACAAGAAGTATAGAAGAAGAAGAAGAAGAAGAAGAAGAAGAAGAAGAAGGATAAAAGTGGTTTTATGATATTCATCCGCGCAGCAGCAGACAAACGCCAATCCCTGGAGACCATGGAGTTGTGCCGCTTGTTCTGGGAACAACGTCTGCTAATATTGTATTGAGTCCAGTACGGGAGTGGTAGTCTCTTCCACATAGTGCACATATAAACGTTTGACGCCCTATCATTCTGAGGCTGATTTTCTCTTGGACGTCTCCTCTCTATTGCTTCGGCGTTTGGATTCTTTCGAAATGCGACACTCCGTTTTTCACTGCTTGCCCCTAAAGAGGTCGGTCTGCAGCCGATCTCTCCAGAGTGTCTGGGTCAATGTTTCATCGCGTTTGCACACGCCCTTATAGAGCAGCATCGGCCTCCCTGCCGATTTCATCCATGTTAGCAGTTCATCATACACGAGATCCTTGGGCATGTGCCTATTCTCCGCGCGAGAGAAATGTCCGTAAAAAGACAGGAGCCTTTGTTTAAATAGAAAGTAAATTGTTGGTATTCCTGCTCTTTTGAGTGCAGCTGCTCAACCCTGTAATAAATAGGTTAATCGTGCATGACTCACAAGTAGGGTCAGACTGTTCTACCCAAACCGTACACAGAGATTCCCATTGGATTTTGAAAACGGTTATACATTTTACTAGATCGTAAAAAGTGACATGACTCTACACGTCGACTACTCAAAGGGTCTATTTAACTGCGCGTAAATTAGTCATTATAATTATGGTTTTATTATTTCGTAATGTCATCATACCTCATTCATTCATTCATTCATTCATTCATTCATTCATTCATTCATTCATTCATTCAATGAGTAGAAAAGGGATACAAGCCCCTTTGAATGGGTGCGGTCTTTTACTTGCCAATGGCTATTATGCATATTTGTGGTTTGCATATTCGTCCGCAGAAATGCTTGTGGTTTTTGCCCAGTGTATCGAATAGCTGCGCGATCTATTAGCTTCCGGTTATTTTGTCGTCTGAGGTTTATGGTTTGTGAGCGCATATTATCAGTCTACATACCTGGTAAGATTCTGCTGCTGGCTTTGTTGGAGGCAGTCCGCTTTGAGGTAGTGTCAGCAATACACAAACGCTGCTTACGACTAATCTCTGGCTTGAACTTAGAAGCCTCCAGCGAGGGGGTGGGCTTGAAGGAGATGGGGTACAGGTCTCATTATATTCCAAACCTATGGACACATCAAAAGGAAAGAGTGAATGTGTTTCTTCTTGTTCTTGTTCTTGTTCTTCTTCTTCTTCCTCTTCTTCTTGTTTTTCTTTTTCTGCTGGGAAATGTGTAGATTGTATTGTAAGTCAGTATACATGAAACAGTAACACAATTAAATTTATAGGAGAGTGATATTTAGAGACAAAAACAAAACATGTTATGCCAGTTTTCGTGTGAATAACAAGACGTATCTGATTACCATATAACGGTGAGCAACCTGGATTATAGAATAAATACTAAATACCCTTGTAGACAGGAATCGCGGTGAGAACGAGAACTGGTGACTCAATTAAATCCCATGTTGACCTTGTACAGGCGAACATCTTATTCTTTACACTCACTCCTCAGCCTTTCCATCCCCCAATGGAGCATAGGCCCTCAACCAACTCACTCCATTCCCCAGCTCTCTTCTCCATGTATTTTTGTGGCCTTCCTTTATGCCTATGCCCCTGTGAGTTCCAATGCAAAGACATTCTAGTTATGCTATTCTCCTGTTTTCTCAGTGTGTGTCCATTGTTTACACTGCTAGTTCATTATTTGTCTTCCAGACAGAGTCCTTGTCGTCACCTCCAACCCCACTCCTAATGTTTTTAGATACAGCCCCTTTAACCAAGTGCAGACATTATAGTTGTAAGCATTGTTTATAAAATTCAAATCATATCAGGTGTATTTTTATATTATGTGACATTTAGCATAGTTTAATTATTATGCTCCTAACTCTGATTGAGCTCTTTATACACTCCCCCCAACATCTTTACCTGTGTAAGGCGCGGGCGGGGCCCACCCAAAATTCCCCCCCCCCACACACACACACACACACAGATCACCACCACACAATCTTTTAATCTTAGGGTCATATTAAGTATTTTTTAGATGTCATAGAAATTGCAACATGAGATGTCAAACCGGCGAACAGCTACCCCCTCATTTTGTGTCTTCGTCAACGTTCGCGCCATGCGCGCTCATTATTCTGTTTTTAGCAATGAGGATGGGGAGGGAAGTGACAATGGGAGTGGCTGAAGGTGGGCTCTATGACGACAGTGAGAAGTTGTGGGTGTCACCACCGCAAACCACCAGACTAATGCAGGACTCACTCATTGCTGCGGGTTTATTTAAGAAATATTCCACTCGCTGTCTAATCTCAAGCGTCATAATGTATTACAAAAAGGAATATTAACAACAATAAGTTCAGTCTCTTTACTCAAAAGCGCATCGATGATTCCCAAGATGTTTTTGCCTCTACTCATTCTGATCCTAGTGCTTAGTCTCAACCAGGCTGAAGCTCAAAGCGTGGGATTGTGTCGAGGAGTGCCATGTGCCAACGGTGGACGCCTCATGGTAGACAACAGCGTGTGGGGACATTGCCGCTGTCGTTGTCTAACTGGGTTTGTGGGTCCTTACTGCCAGTACCAGCTGACTGGAAAGAGACGTGTGATTACTACCACCCTGGGTAACCCTCGGAGAAGGGTCCACAGGTCCCAGAGGTCGAAGCGGCTGGAACAGATTAAACAACAGTTGTCTGATCTGACACCTGATGTGATGTCTTCCTCAAACTCAGGGGAAAGTCTTCAGGACTCAACAATGCCTTCTTTTCGCACCAGAGATGATTTGGACGTGATCAGCAAAATCTTAGAAGTTCAAAACTCAATCGATGATTCCTATAAACATGACTCCACACTCGATCCACTTTGGCTCCTGAAGAATGTTAAAAGATAACATAATAGGTAAGTAATTTTAGTTAATTTGTAAATACATGTTGAGAAATGATTGACTCATATGTTATTATAATAATGATCTCTCTGATATTTATCGTGGCTTAGGCGTTGCTAGTCCGACTGGTAATTTCAAAGTACGGCGATCGAAACCCACTGCTGGCTGCGGGCATTTTTATCGTGGTATGGTACGTCGCAGATCCACCTAGCCTAAAAATGGGTACAAGGATTATGTCCTTGGGAAGTAAAGACAGCCGGCTGAATGCTGGCCATATTACCCGTCTAGTGCCGATTGGTCTGTAAAACTATGGGATGCACTTCCTAAGCCTATAAATGAACAAGGATGGCTGCAGTTTACAAGCTGCTGAGGTTGAACGGAAGGTAGAAGAAAGAGAAGAAGAAGAAAAAGCAGGAGCGGAAGAAAAAGAAGAAGAAGAAGAAGAAGAAGAAGAAGAAGAAGAAGAAGAAAAAGAACAACAACAACAACAACAACAACAACAACAAGAACAAGAAGAACAAGAAAAAGAAGAAGAGAATACTTATTCTTTTCTTAGTAAAATGATTTTTACTGCAGACTTAATCAAGGCTTTAGCCACGTGAGTGAGCACCTCTCGCATCAAGACAATAAAATAAAGGGGTGAGCTCCCCCAACCTCCCCCCCCCCCCCTTCTTTCCTTCCTTTTCTAAAACTCCTGCAATATTTTCTGTGCGTCAGCACGCCTGCTAGACCCCTATTTTACAGACAGATCGATGATGGATGATGCTGTCAGCGTTTTCTTCTTCTTATCATCATTATTATTTTATTTCTTCTTCTTCTGTTTCTTCTCTGCTTCTTCTTTTTTTTCTTCTTCATCTTCTTCTTCTTCTTCTTCTTCTTCTTCTTCTTCTTCTTCTTCTTCTTCTTCTTCTTCTTCTTCTTCTTCTTCTTCTTCTTCTTCTTCTTCTTCTTCTTCTTCTTCTTCTTCTTCTTCTTCGTCTTATTCTTCCTCAGTGGCTGTAAAATCAGGCGAAAAGTTCTGGGTGTTTGTCCACCTCTAGCCTTTTTCAGAGCATGAGTGTTGCGTGCACATCCGTTTCACATGTATGGCTTATTTGTATGCAGAGTTTTTTTTTTCTTTTCTTGCCCGTCGTGCTGATATACCCTCGACTTCAACGGATGTCACTAATTACTGGGAAATGGGAAAGTAGTCACTCTACTCTTGTTTTCCCCACAACGGAGCCTAGCACCTAGCAGGAGTATAAAGACTGTTTCAGCATCTATACGTTCCCGATATATTTCTCTTTAACATTAAAAAAAAAAAAAAACGAAGGTAATATAGTCGATCGATCCTTGCGATGTTAATCTTATGGACAGCAAGCAATCCATGGCCATGACAACATGGTTGATACAACCAACGGTTTTCCTCACGATGTCGTTCCGGTCTGTCTGCCTGCACTTGGTGCCCTTTGTACAGCCACGTTAACTGGGTCATGTGCTTATAACTCCTCTCCCGTCGGGTCAGAGACGTAATATAACGTCAGGAAAGGAAAGGATACACTTGTCACATGTCGTAAGAATGCGAGTGAGAATTTCGTAACCTGATGATACAACGCGGTTATGACTGGATAAGGGCAGAAAGGTCAAATTGCGTACTGGTTAGCATGCGAGCATTTTGTGCTAGAATTACGATATCGAATGGTCAGAAATGGATTCTTAGGTATTGTGAATGCACATTCATAATTCCAACATACATAGCTTAGAAGTCAAAGGCAGGCAGTTGTGTAAAAGATCGATTGCCTTATGGTTGCGAAACGGTATAAGGGTCGTATCGTTAAGGTGGAATGGCAAGCTACTGAAGTTAAAATTGTCTTGTAAATGTGAATATGTGTAGCAATAGTGAAAAAAGAAACAATGTTTTTTAATCACTAGAACAAAGGAACGAATGAATGAACAAGATACACAACCACAGCTATATATCCTGTGAGATCAAAAATGACACCTTCGACATTTATTGCTATGCCCATATTTCTGTACACCAGTTCTTCTTCTTCTTCTTCTTCTTCTTCTTCTTCTTCTTCTTCTTCTTCTTCTTCTTCTTCTTCTTCTTCTTCTTCTTCTTCTTCTTCTTCTTCTTCTTCTTCTTCTTCTTCTGGTCGATTCCACACGACATTTGTACTTATGATCTGTCTCGAATACTTCCAAACACTTCTGACACAGATGACTTTCCATAGTCCATACCATGTACCGCTGGTCGTTATATGTCTAATTTACTTCCAGTCACTTTTGACACATATGACCTCCCATAGTCCATGGCCGTGTGGCGCTGGTAGTCATGATCCGTCTCGTGCACTTCCTATCACTTCTGACACAGATGACTTCCCATAGTCCATACCATGTACCGCTGGTCGTTATATGTCTCATTTACTTCCAGTCACTTCTGACACATATGACCTCCCATAGTCCATGCCGTGTGGCGCTGGTAGTCATGTCTATCCACAGTCTTCTGTTTCGTGTACTTTCAGCTAGTTCTAACACAGATAATCTTTCATGGCATTATGTAAAACTAGTCAGCATCTTCTCTCTCTCTCTCTCTCTCTCTCTCTCTCTCTCTCTCTCTCTCTCTCTCTCTCTCTCTCTCTCTCTCTCTCTCTCTCTCTCTCTCTCTGTCGCTCTCTGTCTTGTCACCCTCCATCTTTTCCCACTGTCACGATGTGCTCGTTTTTGCCTTCTCAAGACACAACCAACAATGTTGATTGTCTCCCTCTGATGCGTGCCAACAATCGGTTCATATCGTGAGTCAGTTTCTGTTTAGACATTTTCAGGTTTTTTTTTAAAATCTGCCAAGTGTGTTGTCATCGATCGTCTTTAAAACTTCAACTTCACATCTTCCAAATAATTTTTCAGTAATTCGCTAATTGTCCATGATTCACTGCCGATAGACTAATTAGCAACAGATAAAAGATGTTATAGATATCACGCTACTTTCCCACCCTTTTCTCTACACCCCCCTCCCCCCCGCCCCGGATTCTATTATATGGATTCTATTTAGGCTGGGTGCCAACTGGACCCATGCTTATTGCAAAACAAAACAAAACAGACCAGCAAACAAACAAAAACAACAATAACAAAGGCCGACTGGAGTCGAAAACACCCGGGATGGCAAGCAATTGTTTGGCCACGACGCTAAACCAGCTAACCAACACATAACTAAACATAACATCACATATGCAACTGCTGAAGATGAGCATGGTGCGTTTATCATAATGTCCTGACTTATGTGTTGTCGGTTCGCAGCTCAACTCAGATCAACAGAATAACATAACCTGCATTTCTGAGAGGAAATTAAATCACTTACATTTTGTCTTTTTTTGTTCTTTCAGATTTCTAGACTTTTCAAATTCCTTTAAAGGACTGCTGCTCACCTAATAAGACCTTTCACCTGTTGGTCTTCATCATCCCAGGGCCCTTGGGTTCGCCATGAAAGCACAGCCTGAAGATGCAAACAATACTGTCGGGACACAATTCACCAACTGCTAATCTGACACTAATGCAATATTTCGATATTCAACGTTTTCTTTGACATTAATTTATCCAAATGACTAGTCTCAATTGTATTTATTTGGTATGGATCGAAATATACCTTCAATTTATTTGAGTTTAATGCCTTATTTCATTTAATGCATCAAACATTTTACTTCACTTTAATCATCAGCATAATTATCCACATCGGAATCATCATCATCATCATCATCACCATCATCATCATCATCATCATCATCATCATCATCATTATTATCATCATCATCATTATCATCATCATCATCATCATCGTGATTGTCATGTACACCATCATCATCGTCGTGATTAAGTGTCTTGTTCACCATCATCATCATCATCATCATCATCATCATCATCATCATCATCATCATTATCATCATCATCATTATCCCTGAACCATGAGTGAAGATAGGTCCTGGACAATGAGTGAAGATAGGTCCTGGACAATGAGTGAAGATAGGTCCTGGACAATGAGTGAAGATAGGTCCTGGACAATGAGTGAAGATATGTCCTGAACCATGAGTGAAGATATGTCCTGAACAATGAGTGAAGATAGGTCCTGGACAATGAGTGAAGATAGGTCCTGGACAATGAGTAAAGATATCTCCTGGACAATGAGTGAAGATAGGTCCTTGACAATGAGTGAAGATAGGTCCTTGACAATGAGTGAAGATAGTTCCTTGACAATGAGTGAAGATAGGTCCTTGACAATGAGTGAAGATAGGTCCTTGACAATGAGTGAAGATATGTCCTTGACAATGAGTGAAGATAGGCCCTGGTCAACGAGTGAAGATAGGTCCTGGACAATGAGTGAAGATATGTCCTGGACAATGAGTGAAGATATGTCCTGGACAATGAAAACAACTGGCGTGTTGTTGACGCATTACCTATCGTGTTCTCAGTGATGCTCAATGAGCAGTACTGATATGAAGTCAGTTACAGAGGGAGAAGTCAACAGATCTGATCAACACCAGATTTGGATTGGAGTGTATACCGATAGATCATCCCAGACAGTAATACCAGACAGAGGAGGAGGAATATATATATATATATATATATATATAGAATGCTCAAATGGTTTACAAATTTACCAAGCTATACCAACAGGTTGATATTCCTCCAATTACAGAGCAGTTCTGCTGACATACTCTTTCCAGAATGCACAGCAAAGATAGCGTAGTGGTCTTTCTGACTGATGATATGTCAGTTCTAAAAACAATTGTTAACCCAAGACACACAGTTTCTGGACTTGATGCAACAGCTGATTCACAGAGGTTGTTCAGTAGAACAATATATACTACAGTATATTTCAGGTCACTGTGGCTTGGAAGGCAATTGAAAAGCGAATAGTTTGGCCTGAAGCGGCAGTGACACAGTAAAGTCAAATAGTGACTCAACCCAGCAAGAGACTAAGACACTAATTCAATTTAGTATCAAAGAAAAGTGGCTGGATACACACTCACAAT